TCAACAAAATCTCTATCCACATCCCTGCTGCATTCTTTACAGAAATTGACGGACTGATCCTAAAATTCATATGAAATGCAACAGACCCAAGATGGCCAAAACAATCCTGAAAAAGAACAAAATTGGAGGACTCGTATTTCCTGAATTCAAAACTTTACTACACGGCTATGGTATCAAAATAGTGTGGTACTGGCATAAAGATATTAACAGGCGTACAGCTCAATGGACTAGAATTGAGTCCAGAAATAAACCTTCGCATTTACCATCCATTGATTTTTGACAAAGGTGTCAAGACAATTCAACGGGGAGAGAATAATCTCTTCCACAAGTGGGGCCGGGACAACTGGATACCCATACATAAGACAATGACGTTGGACCCTACTGCACGCCATATGCAAAAATTAACACAAAATGGACCAAAGACCTAAATATAAAAGTTAAAACTATAAAACTGTTAGAAGAAAACATAGGAGTAAATCTTTACAAACTTGGATCAGGCAACAGTTTCGTACTTAGGATACCAAAACCACAGACAATGAAAGGAAAAATAAAATGGATATCATCAAAATTGAAAACTTTTGTGCTTCAAAGGATATCAGCAAGAAAGTGCAAAGGTAACCCAGATAATGGGAGAAAATTTTTGCAAATTACACATACATACATATGGATAAAATGGAAGGCTCGTATCCAGAATATAGAAAGAACTATTAGAATTCAATAATAAAGAGAGAACCCAATTTAAAAATTGGCAGAGGATCTGAATAGACATTTCTCCAAGGAAAATATACCAACGGCCAAAAAGCAAATGAAAAGATGTTTGACAACATTAGTTGCCAGGGAAATGCAAATCAAAACCACGATGAGATACCACTTGGTACGCACTAGGGTGACTATAACAACAAAGACAGATAATAGCAAGAAACTGGAACCCCCAGACCTGCCGCGAGGACATAAAATGGCACAACCACTTTGGAAACCAGTTTGGCAGCTCTTCAAATGGTTAAATGTAGAGTTACCGTATGATCCAGCAATTCCACTGCTAAGCATTCACCCAAGAGACATGAAAACACAGGTCCCGCAAAAACCTGTACACACGTTTACAGCAACATTATTCATAATACCCAAAAAGTAGAAATAACCCAAATATCCATTAACTGATTAGTGGATAAATACATTGTGGTCTATCCCCACGATGGAATATTATTCAGCCTTAAAAAGGAACAAGGTACTGACCCATGCTACGACACGGATAAGAAACCTTGAAAACATTATGCTAAGCGAGAGAAACCACACACAGAAGACCACATGTTGTATGATTCCATCCACTTACATGAAATGTCCAGAACAGGCAAATACAGAGCAACAGAAAATAGATTAGCGGTTGCCAGGGGCTGGGGGTGGGGAGGAGAGGGTAGCATGAGGGATAAGGGGTACAGAGTTTCTCTTTGGGGTAACGAGAATATTCTAAAATTGATTGTGGTGAGGTTGCACGGTGCTGTGAATATACTGAAAGCCATTCAACTGTATACTTTTATTTTATTTTTTGAGACAGAGTTTTGCTCTGTCACCCCAGCTAGAGTGCTGTGGCGCCATCATCGTACCTCACAGCAACCTCAAACTCCTGGGCTCAAGCGATCCTCCTGCCTCAGCCTCCTGAGTAGCTGGGACTACAGGCTCGAGCCACCACGGTGGGCTAATTTTTCTATTTTTAATAGAGACAGGGGTCTCGCTGTTACTGAGGCTGGTCTTGAACTCCTGAGCTCAAGTGATCCTCCTGCCTCGGCCTCCCGGAGTGCTAGGTTACAGGCGTGAGCCACCGCGCCCACCAACATTTTAAATGTCTGCGTACATATAATATTAATATTCAACAGTGTGCTCTCTGAGCCGCAGCAGGTCCCACCCTGCCTGACAGCATAGACTCCAGCCCCCGCCTGGGAGCCGGTCCCAGCTCTACCACTTATGGCCTGGGTGACCTTGGGCAGGTTACTTAACCTCTCCGTGCCCTGCTGCACAGGGCGGTGGTGAGAACTGAGCAAACCGCCGTGGCTGCAGGAGGAGGGACGGCTGGACTATTTTCTCGGCAGCTTCACGGTCTCAGTGCGCGGCGCTGAGCGCAGGCGGCTGTGAAGTGAGGCTCCGCGACCCCGTGCCCTTCAAAGGGGAGGCGCCTCGGCCCAATGCAGAGCGCCAGGCCCGGATGGCTCCCTGAGCCTTGCTGTCCTCAGAGCCACTTCGGCCAGCCTCGGGCTGTGTGCCAGGAATGTGTCCTTCTGCGGGGGCAGGGGGTGCTCCCAGGCAGGCTGCGGGGCTGGGTGAAGGTAGCTGAGGGGTCCCCAAGCCCAGGAGTGCACTTAGGGAGGGCGACAGTCCGTGCCCAGTTCTAGAAGCGCCAGGGTCAGCACTGGTGGGGCGTATCCCGGCGTCTGGCTTGACCTTCTTCGTTATTCGAGCGGGGTCTGCGCCCAGCGCCTGTCACAGCCCATGTGCCCCGGAATTGGGATCATCGCAAGCTCCAAAAATAGTGCCTAGTGCTGGCATCTGAGGACAGACACCTCCTCCCCTTCCCTCCCAACTCCTGGGAAGAGAGGTAGGGGGAGGGGAGCCAAGGAAGAAATGGAAGCAGGCCCAGGTGCCCTTGGTGTCACCCCAGGCTGTGCGAGGCCAGCCAGCCCTTCCTCCTCCAGGGTCGGGAGGACAAAGCTGCCTCCTGCCATGGTTCAGAGTTAGTCGCTGTGACAAAACACAGCAGCATTAGAATGGGACACCCCCATCACCGCCCCCCATGCACCACGGGGCGCCCAGGGTCTGCGCTCGGAGAGCTGGCAAGGGGCCCCCTGAAACTGCACCCTGCATATCTCAGGCCACCTTGGACCCTCTGTCGAAGGGTGGGGGTTCCCCACCGAGGAGGGAGCTGCAGGCGAGAGGCTGGAGCGGGCGGGGGCCTGGCTGGAAGCTCAGCTCCTCCTCCCTGCCGGCAAGCCCTCCCCAGCCCTCCTCCCGGGGGGCTCACCATCTGGAAAATGGGCCTCTGTCTCTCACATGCCGGTCTCTCTGAGTGTCTCACAGAGCCCGGTGCAGAGTAAGAGACCGGAATTGTTATTCCCCAGGCGACAGGACTGAAATGGCGGCACAGCGCACACACGTTTGCCAGGACCGGAAGCTCCCTCCTGGCCCTGTCTGAGCAGTACCCAAGGCGGGCGGGAGCCAAGGACACAGTGCCGGGGTGACGGATGCTGGCGTGGAAGGGAAGGTGTGCACGTTTCAGACGTGGCCAGGCTCAGTCCCAGCCTCTGCCACTTTCTAACTGGGTGTCCTTGGGCAAGTCACTTGCCCTCTCTGAGCCTCTGTTTGGCCATCTGTAAAACAGGGTGGCAGTGAGGATGTTGCCAAACGGAGTCTCAAAGGGGTAAGCGCCGGCAGTCTTGACAGCATTCCCTCCAGCTGTGTGCTTCCCCTCACTTAGTCCCATGGATGGTGTCCTCATTCGACAAATGACGAGCCCAGAGCCCAGAGAGGCTCACTAAGTTACCCACGGTTACACAGCATGGAAGGGTGCACCTGGATTTGGATCCTAGTTGGGCCCAGCCCCCACTCCCTCCAGGAGCCCCCAGCTCAGCAGCTGGGCTTGTTCTCGTGAGCGGCTCAGAAACAGAGCTGGCATTGTCCCCAGGGCACTGCGGTCATATCTTCTTTTTCTACCCTCAGTCCTTCAGCTCCTACCAGGCAGTGGCCACACCCCCCACCCTCTCCCCTTCCTCCTGACTGTTCAGTCTCCCGTTCCTCGGATGAAATGCATTGAGGGAGGGACGTACTCGGAACAGGCCTTGATGTCCAGAATAAAGCCCATGCTCCTCAGCGTGGCCCCCAGGCCCAGGCCCTTGTTATCAGCCCCACCAGCC